GTAGAGGATATTTTTCTTCGGCACGGAGCCCCACAATATCTTATTAGTGACAGAGGCTCTCAATTTACCAGTAATTTAATGAAAGAGGTGATGAAAACGTGCAAGATTAAACATTGCTTCACAACGAGCTATCATCCCCAGACTAATGGATTGACAGAGCGGTTAAATAGAACATTGATCAATATGCTCAGTATGTATGTGAACACTGATCAGAAAAATTGGGACGAGATACTCCCATTCATCACTCACGCTTACAATACTACAATTCAGGAAACCACAGGATATTCTCCCTTTTTCATGATGTTTGGAAGAGAACCCACGTCTCTTTTGGACGACAGGAATATCTCGGTGGACATTGACAAAGATGATTATGATGAATACATAAAACATCACTTAGACAAAATAAACAGAACAAGAAAATTAGTTATTAACAACACAATAAAGACTCAAGAAAGAATGAAAAAGAACTATGACAAGAAACACATGGAAAGAAGCTACGAACCAGGAGAATTAGTAGCAGTTTGGACACCAATTAGGAAAATAGGAAAGTGTGAGAAACTACTGAGAAAATATTTTGGCCCATATAGAATATTAAAGAAGCTGTCTAACGTAAATTACTTAATTGAGCCAAAAGATAATCCTGGCCAAGACCCATTGATTGTCCATGTCTCAAGACTTAAACCCTATTTTGAGAGAATTGATGAGGTAACTCACGAGGACGTGACGACCTCTGGAGAGGGGGAGGTGTTACATCATGATTAATGGCGTATTTCTTATATTATTTTTAATATATTTGAAATTTAAATTATATATTTATTTATTTTTATATAAAATATTCTATGATATTTATTTAAAACACAGATTATTTAGATTGTCATTATTTGTATTTAGGTACACGTGTGACTTCACTGCTCTCTTTGATGTGAAAAAATAAATAAAGTATTCTGGAGGCTACTAAAAGTAGACTTATCTCATTATTCCCTTTTATAAATTTGTAGGATGGTTGAAACACGCTCTGGTAAGATGCAAGACCCAGCACAGGAGAGAATCAAGGCTGAAGAGTCTGCCAAGCCGCAGCCTGGTGCAACAATATGTGTATCATTATCTCATGTTTTTCCCAATCTATTGGCTCACAACAAGCCAATATGATCAAGGGATATCATCCTTTTATTTCTAACTTTTAATAATCATGCATTTTATTTTCTTTCTTCATTCTTATAATGTGTCAATTTTCTCATTTATCTTCCCTATCTATTGGTTCACCATAAGCCAATACGATGATGGAACACCAATTTATATTTTTTTCTCTTTGCCACATTTCTACTCTTTATCAGCCAACATTTTATAATTATTGCACATATCATTTTTCTCATGTCTTTTCCAATCTATTGGCTCACAACAAGCCAATATGATCATGGAATATCACCTCTCACTTTATTCTCTTTATCATCATGTTATCTTTTTTTAACTATATTTTTTCAATTTTCTCTGTACCCATATTATTTTCTTCACAGGGGGGAAATGTTATATTAAAATATTATTCTATTTAAATTTATATTTCATAGATCTAAATACTCTGTTATATCGACCGCCAGAGGTCACTCTTCCCCTATAAAAACTCGTTGTTGTTTTATCCCAATGGCCGGCTAAAACCTTTGTACATTATGTAAATAATATTTTGTTTTCCTTATTCTACTCGCCTTAAGCCAGGCAGTGCTTTTACCAAATTATGTTTATTATATAATCTTAAAGCTCAATTAAAACAATCTCTTATCAAAACTATTTTTAGTAATCATACTTTCAAGATTCAACCACGACACATCTTTTTTAAATATAATATATATATATGTCTATTTTTTATTAATATAAATTACACTCTTTTTGTTTACACGAAATTTTATTTACATATATTCTTTTAATAAATATTAGAGCATGTATTATAGCAAAGAATTTATTTTTATTAACAGATATATATATACATATATAGATGTAACAAAGGTGGTTCTCTCCCATTATTATATTGTTACGATGCTTTATAACCGTCGTTGTTTATGAACAAGGTTTTTAAGAGAACATTATCGATTTGTTGTGGATACAGCTTGGTACGATATACTTTATTACAAGGGTTTTAAGTGGATTATATATCCAGTAGATGTCTTCATTGTCCGCCACAAGACTCCTTGTCTTCCTGGTCAATCCACATTATCACACTCACGGAGACAACTTCTGTCACCGCTGATGTCACCAGACTCTCCCCCACACCGTCCTGTTCCCCTCACATCCCCACACAGTTGGAGTCCATCCATCTTTTCCTAACTTTACCCTGGGATCTTGGCCTCTTGGTTAGCTTGTCATACATCGTAGGATGGAATGGCTACCTAAGCTAGTATTGCTTTAACGCCTGCTGCCGAAGCTGCACCCCTGACATCCAGTTTCCCAGCCAGTTAGGAACTGGTGCATTCTCCATGCACCGAGCCACCATTTGGTTTGGCCACTCGCGCAGCCTTTATGATCTTGCTCAATGGGGTCGACCAATCAGCCCATAGGCGTCTACGAGAGTTTCATGGCCAGGTTGCTGTCCTTTAGTTTGGACTTGGTTAAACCTGTCCTACGCTCCAATAGGACTTTGGCCCTCGTACCCTTAGTTTCCAGTACTCACTGAATCTGCCGACGAATCAAGGACCTCTGAGGTACGAGGTTGACACGGGGAAGCCCTCGAAGGCGGGGGGATGTTACTACTGTGTGTACTCCTTGATTATCCATGACGCGCTCGGCAAGGACGTTTCCAATCGCGCACACACAAAGCGAAGACCCAAGATTTTCAAGAACTCGTGGCGAACCCACCGTCAGTGAACCCACTGGCGCGAGGATCCCCACGCGGAGTCGATCTTGTCATACAGTAGGGAGGGAATTATCCGGGAGTAAAATTTGATCTATAAAACATAAGGCGCCTCTACATTCAAAATAAATGTCAAAACTAGACGCCATTATAGGTGGACTCTTCTCAGTTTGTCAAAGCTGGTGTTGGGGTTTTGTCACCGATCTGAATCGACTAGTTTGTGGTGAGGGTCAATAGATGACGTCTAGTTGTGACGTCTATTTTGACGGTAAAGGCGCCCTACGCTTATATATAAATACGCCATCTATTGACCGTCGCCGCAATCTAGCAGACTCAGGTCGGTGACAAAGCCACAACACCAGCTTTGGCAAACTGAGAAGCTACCACCTGTAATGGCGTCTAGTTTTGTTTGTGTGTGTGTTTATTTTAATATTAAAATAAAAATAGAAATGTCCTGACCATGTTCACTTGAACTTTTTATATGGCAGAGCGCCATCTAGTGGAACAAAAATTTAGCCATTTCCCTGATATTTGGCCAAACCATTTTCTTGATAAATCAAGAAAAGCTATCCATGAACGCGTTTCGGGCTTTTGATCTTAACAGAGAAATTCTATATTTATAAAATAGTTGGATATATAAAGGATATAATGGTAGTTTTAATAGAAAAAATAAATCAAAAGAAAAGATTCATTTAGGTCAGCTTTAAGGACAACATATCAGCTCGACTGTGGCGCTCGAGTGGCAAAATTTGGAACTAAAATTGGCTTGGCTAAATTTTTATCTCCTTTGCGTAATGTGAAACATTTAAATAGAAACACTTTTTATAATTATTCGTTATTTTATATTAATATATAAGTATTTATTATTAAACAGTATATATATGTAAATTCAAATTTAACTATTAAGTCATTTTTAGTTCCAATTTCTGCCACTTGAGCGCCACCATCGAGCTGAAAGTTGGTCCATTAATATATACAGTTATCAGCGTCATGCGTTCTTAATTCTGTCACCATTTGCTTTTGGTTCAGTGGTAGAATGCTCGCCTGCCACGCGGGCACCCCGGGTTCGATTCCCGGCCAATGCATTTTTTTTTACAATTTTTAAAACTCATAAAACACATTATAATGTATTATAAACTTTAATATATTGATGAGGCTGAAGTGGGGATATAAAACTCAATTTATTGGTAGGTTGCAGTACATTGTCCTGGTGGGCTATGGTCACCATGGCCCGTTCCAGGGCTGGGCTTGTGGTCCGGTTCTGGAGGGTTGTTGAGGTCCGATTCTCTGCGGTATAGCCGTTGGGAGGGTTAGATCTGGTACAAGACATCTTTCGTTCGCCGGGCAAGGAATAAATAAATAAATAAATAAATAAATAGCACGAAGGTCAAACGATAACTGGCACGTTGTATTTGTAAGCATTCCGCGAAAACGGCGGTCCGTGGTCAAATACAACTCGTACCTGTTATCTCTGTGGTGCCGTTTCTCTGATAAATAATAAAATAAACAAAATTTAAGATAATTTTGTAACGGTCACGTGTATTTCCGGTCGGTTGCTTGTTGACACACAACACCACCCCCCCCTCTTATCTTAGACTCGGTCCCTCAATGTCTTCCTCCTCCGGGTTGAAACACGGCGTCTCTCCGTAGCCGATATTTATGTTCGCTGCTTGAGGTGCTGGGCCGACACTGCTCTCCACCATGTGATGAGGCTGAAGTGGGGATATAAAACTCAATTTTATTGGTAGGTTGCAGTACATTGTCCTGGTGGGCTATGGTCACCATGGCCCGTTCCAGGGCTGGGCTTGTGGTCCGGTTCTGGAGGGTTGTTGAGGTCCGATTCTCTGCGGTATAGCCGTTGGGAGGGTTAGATCTGGTACAAGACATCTTCCGTTCGCCGGGCAAGGATAAAAAGAAAAAACATAAATAAATAGCACGAAGGTCCAACGATAACTGGCACGTTGTATTTGTTAGCATTCCGCGAAAACGGTGGTCCGTGGTCAAATACAACTTGTACCTGTTATCTCTGTGGTGCCGTTTCTCTGATAAATAATAAAATAAACAAAATTTAAGATAATTTTGTAACGGTCACGTGTATTTCCGGTCGGTTGCTTGTTGACACACAACAATATAAATGAGTTCTAAAAATTGTAAAAAAAAATGCATCGGCCGGGAATCGAACCCGGGGCGCCCGCGTGGCAGGCGAGCATTCTGCCACTGAACCACCGATAACCACCGGGCGGCCCGGGTTCGATTCCCGGCCGATGCATTTTTTTTTTTTTTACAATTTTTAAAACTCTTTTATATATTATGCAGGAATGACATCCACGGCGCCAATTTATAATTGTAACGAATAGTATTTGAATAAAAGCATTTAATCGGGTAAACCCCGGGCGTTGCCCGGGTCATTCGGCTAGTAAGTTATATTCAATGAGTGTATAATCTAGGAAATTAATAAAACATGTCGATTTAACAGAGAAATTATATATTTATAAAAGTTTGATATATATATATTGCAAAAAATATTTTCTGTTGCTTTATTTTACTATACATGAGTATTTATATTGCTGGTAATATTAATAAAAATAGTTTAAATAAGAATTTAAGACTTGAGGAATATAAAAAAACATAAATTGTGAAAGTACCACCTTACATTAGGCTTGAAGAAGAAAATAAAAGATTACGTATTTACATATCTACAAAAAGATTTGAGCCGGCCAAAAGTAAAACAACAACTATAGGTTTATATAGGGAAAGCCGCGATATCTTGTGGTAGACTTTGCAGAGTAGTTTATAATATAAATTATAATTTTAAAAATTAAATAGAAGTTTTTATATAACATTTATAAAGGATCTCACTGTAGTTTTATTTTAATAGAAAAAGAAATCAAAAGACAAGATTCATTTTATGTCAGCTTTATGGACAACATATCAGCTCGACTGTGGCGCTCGAGTGGCCAAAGTTGGAACTAAAATTGGCTTACTTATATTCTTATCCTCTTTGCGTAAAGTGAAACTTTAAAAAAGAATAACTTTTTATAATTATTTATTATTATTAATATCACACACGTTAACTAATTTAAACGGTTTAATAATAACGTAAATTCAATTTTAACTATGTATTAAATTAATTTTAGTTCCAATTTCTGCCACTTGAGCGCCACCGTCGAGCTGAAAGTTGTCCATAAAGTTCGTTTGTAATTGAGAATTCATTTCTGAATCGTTTTCAAAATAATTTGCGTCAATTCTATAAAGCCTAGTAAAAATTATAGTTTTGTTTTCCATTTATTTTTTTATTTTTAAACCTTTGTTGTTTGTTTGTTTGTTTCTCAAGACGATTTCCTTATAGTGATTATTACCTTAGTTAAGATATAACCATTTTACTTGAAGATAGAAGTTGTCAGTAGACATTCAAAGATACTTAAAATAAAGTATAATTAATAATAAAATAAAAATATTTTAGATGCGTACGATTCTTTTTACAATTAAACAAATTTCTATTGCTTTTATGTTAAAATCTAGAATAGTTTCAATTTCTTATAACAGATGGCGCGCTGACGCATCAAAATATACTTTGACTGAAGAGGTTTTTTATATTTTTGACTTTTGACAAAATTTTTGTCTATGTGTAGGATAAATAAAAATAAAACATTTTAGCAAGGCGTTACACATGCCCTCATATATTTCTTAAGTCAATATTGTCTTATTTTTTATATATATTTTTTTATGACGAAAATATAAAGATCTCTGTCAAAACGTTGGAAAAAAAATCCTAGAAATGTGTCTTATTTTAAAGAACTATAACCAATTATGTTGGAGAATGCTATAATCTAGTTCACATTAAACTATGGAATAGCCCTTATAAAACTATACATGTTTTCCATTGAATATAAATGCAAAGAAAAACACACAGTCACCGTCACTATGTAACACACATATTACAGTGAGTTTTTTTGAAGACACACTAGAAAACCATGTCTGAACACAACTGCCTCTGTTTTCCTCAAAAAAAAAAATAATAATAATAATAAACAGAAAAGACCTGTGAAATCAAAGACTTTCCATTTCCTCAAGTTTTGTTCTTGAGTGTATACTGTAGGAAATCAATAAAACATCTCGATCAAAGGATAAAGGATATAATCATAGTGTTTTAATTTATTATAAAAAGAAATCAAAAGACCTGATTCATTTAAGTCAACCATATGGACAACATTTAGCTCGACT